CGCGCCCGAGTTGTGCATTCCTTATATACCTGACGACATGCACGTAAACAAAGTGTCGGACAGTTTATGACAAAAACAATTCTACTATAATATCCAGATATTGAAATTGACCAGCGGTCAAATACTTTATATCCTTGTTATATATGATTTCTCGTTTATATAATAGCAGCTCACGTTCAGATAAAAGAATTCTATACAAGATAAACGAAACTAACGATACCATCAAATAACAACATCAGATTATTTCAATTTTTGTTCACTGCATTCCGCACTGTGCAACGTTACAACTTATACTTGTAGATTGAAAGAAACGCTCTGATATATTTCGAAATTCATATGTCACAACTATATTTATTTTATATAATTGCAAAAAATTGCCCGACAAAATTATACGAAGGAGGTTAGATAAAACGTATAATTTTTTAACGATTCTTTCTCACGAAACTGTCATAACGAAGCACTATTATTTTTATAACAGTCATATATATATATATACATATATATTTTATAAATTACCATTGTTTCCAAATTCGAAGCTTCCAATTCTGTTCTTTAAATTCTTCCAGTTTATAGAGCACGTAATAACAATTCCAAATATCCGGCCAATAATATACATTCCCAAATGGACGTTGTAACTGCAGAAAATAACTTTGCGTTTGATCGATTTTAAGATCTTTTTTTACGTCGCCACTCGTATTATACGATACGAGGATTGGTCATTTTCCAAAGAAACGGTCGATCACTATCGCCATCAAGAACCATGCGCCAGCAACAAGTGTCTGAAGAAGCCTTTCATCGCCAGCAGCGATACCGGCGTGGTCAGATCGCATTAGAATTACTCGAATCGGCCCGTCGCTGCACCTGAACGTGTAAATTGATCGTTCTCATCAAATTTCCTTTTAGGATCAACCGCTACCGGCTCTTTCGTAATAGAATGGTTAAGTTCTTTTTATCACCTTTGATACCATTTTATCAGCTCTTGGACACTATTCACCCCTCCTATTACAGTGTTAGCATATTATATGCAGTTTTAGTCGCTTTTTACCATTTCCTCGAGATATATTATTGAACAAATTATTATATTTATTAAGTTATTATACATATTATTGAATTATTAGTATTACACATATTATCGAACGTATTCTGCAATTATATCGTTATTATTATATTATTACATATAATTATAGGTTATTTCATCTTATTCCAGAACGTGTGAAATCTGGGGAGATTTTATTTTATATTTTTATGTCGTTGCATTCTTTTTCTGTAGAATCATATCCTTTCCGCTTGTATTATATGTTCTAATTTATATAATATATATATATATATATATATATATATATATATATATATATATGTGAGGTGATGTTAGATGTAATGCGTTAAATAATCACTCGATGTTTAGGCCAACAATATATTTATTAACAAGAGTCTTGTTTCGTGTCGCGTATCGCTCTCGGTTTCGCTAGGCAATCTCACTACCCGGTTACAACTCGACTTTATCGCTTCTTAGTTCGAACCTAACTGTCGATCGCATTCGTTTCTTTTCTTTTTCTCGCCCCTCAATATCCCCGCTATCCACACATTTGTTAGGCGTCCGCGACCGTTACTATGCAGCCATCTTCTCGAACATTCGGTGGAAGGACCGATGGGATATTGATGACTCATTAGGCACTTCGCTTCGGCGATGTATTGGTATTGTTGCCAAATGTCGCTACATATATCTTATTAATATATATATATATATTTAATAAGCATAACGTAAACACTTCATAAGCTTTGCACGTTAGAAATTTCGCAAGCGACAGACAGAAATCAAAATGCACAACACGTAAAAAAATATAAACAGAATGATAGATTGTTAGAAGAAAGAATTAGAGGCAGGAAAAAAATTGAAATGCAGGAAATTTGAAAGGAGAAACTCGCGTCGTTATGAAATTTCTCTTTAATTCAACAACGAAATCTCTTGAACTACCAATTCGTGAACGTAATATTAAACAGGCAGAATTTAAAGCTTCTGAAACAGTCATTCGACAATTTATCTCACGAACCCTTTACACAGAAATCTGCTCAATTTTTCGATATAAAATACTTGCAAGCGATAGGCAGATTATTTCTCCTTCTCGTTTCCCTTGGTATTTCCTGCAGTTCGTGCAAAAGTAACAGCTGTTTATTCAAACAAGACGATGTAAGATCTGGCAAGACGGTGTCATATTTCCTAGAAATTTCCTCCGCCATGTTCCCCCGCGGCTTACATAGAACCGAATTCACGAAACTCTTCAGCGAGAACTGTATCTTATTCGAGTTGCCACGCCTTTGAGGGTTTCGTTGCCGGATCGTTGTCGAGTTATCGTTATCTCTCGTTAAATTTCTCGCTGAACTTTTCTCCGCGGAACGCCTCTTCCGAGCAAAGACAGGTCGTCGAGGATTCCTTTTATCTCGAAGAAATTTCAGCTCGCGTAAACTTTTCGTCAAGACAAATTGTCTTCTTCGTTCTGGCTGTGTTTCCAGAAAAAAGTATCCGCCAGGTAAATAGCTAATTTTACGTTAACGTAGCCTTAACACTGGAACCATCGATGATTAACACGAAGCTGTTTCTACCAAAACCAAACAAAATCACTGGTCTTTAAAAAATACGTAATAACAGAATATTTTTATATTTATTGATTTATTACTTTCTTACAAAAGCAATTCCACGTTATGTAGTACATTTGTCGTATTATCAATCCGTTTGTCACCATAATCCCTAAACGGTGGTTGACATATTTATAAAATCGTAGAAACACTGTGGTATTTTTAGTGTTAGCAGCTAGCGATCTTGCGATCGATTGGGAATTTTCCTGATAACCGATATCTTCGTATTGAACGATACGTAGTAAAAATTTGAAAAACGTGTTGCAGAAAATAATTTGATATAATAAGATAAAATAAATTAAAATAATTTAATATAATGTAATAAATTAATTGGGGTTCGATAAACAAATTGCAGGACCCTTTTACACTTCCACAAGTACCAATCATTTTGACTGCTATTTAAAAATAAAATTCATTATATTATTCTTTTATAAACTATATTTATAAAATATAACATGAAGTAGGAATTTTAAAATGAAATTGTAAAACCAGTGAATTTGACCGGTGTGGTAGCGCCAGTGTTAAAATTCTTCCAAATCGGATTTCGTTCAAAGTCGTAACTCAATACCTTAATGTCTCAAGTGTAACTTAATACCATCGTTATCGCGCGACTTTTTAGTGTTACCAGGCAAATGGTAGTTCTGTTCGAAAAAATTCTGCTCTGCGACTGGCATTCTCGAATTCTGCGCTTCTACCACATATTTTCTTCGCGTGTTTGCGATAGAAATACCTCTGTTCCAGCACATTGTATCTTATCTTTATTTTCGTCTCTGCGGACCGTTTCGTTTGGCGACTGAGTTGCCCAGTTATTTCTATCGGCTTGGCAACTAAGTGACCAGCAACAGTGACTAAATACCAGCAACTCTGGATTTTCTAAAACATCGGATCGTTGTTGTCCACGTGCTGCTTCCCTTGTTCCCGCTCTGCATCCACTTGGTTTGAACAAGTTTGTAGAAGTTTGGTATACCGGTCGATTAGAAATTGAAATTTCAGTTGCATTTAAATTGGATCGTTCGATAAATTCTAACGAAAAGATAGCCGCGGTGAAATGGTGATTTATTCAATGGGTGGGAAAGAAAAATAGCTGAGTATTCGTTTTATATTCAGAGGTGGCCATTTGTTTCCATAGTGTGCCATAACATTTTTCTCCGGCTTGGAAAACTTCGCGTTGCTACGCATTTTCCGCTGCATTAGGTATCGACGCGTTGCTCGTTCGCCAATACGTCTACACGTTACATAATAAATTGTCATATTGTGCAATAAATTGTCCGATACGTCGTAACGAATAAATGTTGTCGTTTAATCATTATCGTCTGGCTAACATTCTATCGCTTGAAAATTCAATTGAGCATTACATTGCTCTTTCTTTTATATCCGACACAATATAACGAGATACTTACGTGCCGAGTGAGACACCCTTTATAGATTGAACAACGAAACAATATGGAAAATAATAATATACGTAATGAGGACGTAGAATAAAATACGACAGAGCTGTCTCCAACGTTGTGCAAGATCAATTGTTTATTAGAATAATATGTTCAGTATAACTGCAAAGATTGAAAAATAATAATTAATCTCAATTTGAGTCTCTTCCTCGCCTTTTTAAATCGTCTTAGCCAAAGTGTAATAAATAGTTATGATGGTTTTGACAAGAGCAATTTATTTGAAATAATTAAATTATTAAAATATACAGGATGGTTGGTAACTGGTGGTACAAGCGGAAAGGGGGTGATTCTACGCGAAAAAAGAAGTCGAAAATATAGAATAACAATTTTTTTTTTATTTTTCCATCGAGACAACGATCTACAGTGAGATCCGTTAGAACGAGACGTGATAAAGTGCACGCGTACCGAGCGCAAATTCAAAGTCGATTTTCTCGAAAGCAAAGCCTCGAACGAAAAATTGTTATTCTATATTTCCGACTTCTTTTTTCGCGTAGAATCATCCCCTTACCGCTTGTACCACCAGTTACCGATGACCCTGTATAGAATCGAGTTGTTGATCAAATTCTCGTACGAATTTTAATTGCTTTAACAGCTGACATTTTCAAGAGAAATAAAAATTCAGAAACTTGAAGAACACGTAAATTTTCTTACGTCTCGAATGGTTAAGAACGTTAAGGGTTGATCATTTTCATCGTACCAGTAATTCTATCTATACTTGTATTATGATTATTGCAATATGCTGCGAGTGTAAAAAAAGAAAAACGAAGAACGCTGTCGAGTTGCTCGTTAACGATTACCCTGTTTTACACGGATCCGTGCCACGTATCCGAAGAAAACACAGATGCAATTTGATTCTAACGAAATCATCCAGGTGAAGCATGCGCGTTGTAACCGCGTCGTAGCACGGGGGTTGGTTCGTTTCAACCCTCAGTCTGGCGCCGCGTGCGAGCGCGAGTGGATCTTGGCGCTCCCTCGCTCGAAAACGCTGTCATCCTCTCGGTTCGGCGTCGCTCGAAGCGATGATTCACGACACAGCCGATATTTACTGTTCAAATTCCGATGACCCAACCTGAAACAGCCCCTCGAACGTTACTAAACTCTCTAAAACTCGATTTCGATTATTCCCTATAATTTATCTTGGAAAAGAAGATGAACATTTTCAGCGAGAAACCGTGGTCCCTGTTCCAAGAAACTCGAAAGTCTCTTAGAACAGTGCCGAAATCGTGGCTGCACAGTGCAAATCGTCGATCATCGGATGGTCGATCGTGACTCGGTGAATCTATCGCGAGAAACATGCGACAGACAAACGTGGCAGTTAATTTCGGATCGGTAGAAGCCTAGTGGAACGTAGTGGTGCGAACACGTGACGGAAATGACGGTAGCCGCGTTGCAATCCCGGCTCCTGTCCGGATGACGTGACTGGGCCGGGATCTGTACAGCTCGTTGCCCTTGATGGCCGTGAATTCTCATCTAAGATGAGTATCCTATGCGGCTGGTACGTGCTCGTCCTGCTCACGTGCACGCTTTGGACTGGGCTGGCCGGCTACGCTGACCAAGAGGCTCAGATCGAGAGGCCCAAGGAACTGCTGCGGCACCAGCAGAACCATCGACCTTCCTTCATCGAACGAAAGCTGGTCGACAAACTGGAGATGCACGAAAGCGTGACGGAGCCTTCGATGGAGCTAGAAGATCAGGAGGACACGTTACCGGACGAGGATGACAATCAGCAGGAGCCTGAGAATCGGTTGGTCTCCTTTAGATCTAAATTGGAAACTAACATAGAAAAACCAGTCACCCAAATCAGACACAGTAGATCCAGAAGTCATTTCGTGAGACAGGTGAAGCTAGATGATACCGAGTCCTCGTACGTGTTTAGTGGATCCAGTAGAAGAGCTGAGCAGATAGACAATGAATCTCAAAGCGAGGATATTTCGATTTCAGACCGGCCTAGGAGCAAGAGTGAAAGCCCTAACACGATCTCAGGCCAGGATCTGAGATCGTCGGGCACGATCGACGAACGATCTACAGTAGAATTGGACAAGCTGCTCACCAGACTATCGGAAGCTGGGTCTGACAAGAAAAAGGAAGGGAGAGTGCGCCACAGAAACGATTCTTTATACAAGTGGAAGAAAACGTTCAGCAGAAACAAGTTTAAAGTCTTTAAAATCTCTAACAGAACTGCCGGCAATGGGACCGAAAGCTATGGGAACATCGTGCATGGAATATCGTTTGGTGACAGGAAAGACCTGGACGACGAGGATATCGTCCTATCGGGCGATGTTTACGACTATGGCATGATCGGAGATAGGAACAATTCGGAAAATGAAGATTATGAGGAGTACGAGGTGACCGAAGAGCAAGGGAAGTCGACCAAGGAACCTGTCCACGTGGACATCGTCACGAGGTTCCTTCGTATCATCGAGAATCAGCATATTCTCGGTGAGAACTGCACCGCTGGGACAGATTTGAACCTGGGCGAGGGAATCGTGGACCAATATGCTCAGGAAAGGTTCAAATTGGAAGCTAATCTCGCGGTGAACAGGGCCAACATGCTGACCAGACTGTGGAAATACGCGCCAGACGTAATGCTCTCCTCGGAGTACCTGTTACACGCTAGCGTCTTGTCGATGGTCGAGTTTGACGAGGATATATTCGCCGCTGGGAATTGCTATGACAAGCTGCAGTACGGAGATCACTGGCTTTACTGTCCCTTTGCTCATCGACTTCAGGACCAAGATGGAATTCTGGTGAAGGACCTGGCGATCGAGTACAAGTATCTGAGCAACAGTAGCGAGTGGTTTTACATCGCCAGGAAGAACGCCGAGCGCGTGATCGCGAATAATGATCAGTTCAGTCGCGGTGAGTCACCTGAAATTCATTTGGTTCTTTCAGGCGGATCAGATTTTTCTCTTTCTTCGTGATATTTGTCGAGGTTCTATATTATTATCAGCTGTGCATGGTTTGGACCATTATTCGCAATTTTGTTGAGTAGATGAAGAGTAGAAGTCTAAGAATAGTCGACTGTCTTTCTTACTGTGCTTCTTACTGTGCTTGACCAACAATTTTTAAAGACATTTGGATAGAAAACGAAGAGTATCGAGTAAAATTGGTCAAAATTCATTTATCTGATAAAGTTATTTAGACATTTTTTATACTAACTATAATGAAATATTAATAGGTACGTGTAATTACATTTCATTGGACAAAAATTACCATAAATATGGTAATGACATGGTTGTTCGTGGTGGGGCTTTAAAGAGAATTTGCTTGCCTGCTCGATGCTTCTGTGAGATCACATCACTGAGGCTTTGTCGATCAAAGATAAAAGGCAACTAAAAGTTCCTAAAATCTAGAATTTCTTGGAAGCTTCCCGTCTGCAATGGTCACTCTACGAAGAATGCCCATTCTGTGGCAGACACACAGCAGTCAATTTCCCTTGGTCCACGACACAGTATCGATAGAATGTTTAAATAAAACCGTTCATCCAGGTACCTGTTGTCTTCTCTTCCTAGTTTGAAAAGCCAAACAAGAAATCTCAGTTGTTGAAGTTTTACGTTTCATTGCAGTTCTCGGCATTCATTATACCATAGAACAAAAGCCTTTGTTGCTTGTTAATTGGACCAGTTTTTAGACGTTCGTATTTGATTTAGAATTTCACGTTTGCATATCTACAGGAACTTTGTGAACTATAATTGCTGCTTATCTGACCGAGATTTTGCTATGATATAAATAATATCAGTAATACCAATTATTGGAAATGGTTTTCCTGTAGTAACGCTCCCAATCAGTTGATTTATCGAAGAACAGAAGAATCTGAGATTTTCTACAAGTCTACTTTTCTTCGTTGTTGGATAGACGTGCTTCTAAATCACGATCCATTAATGTGACACTATAACACATCGCACAGGAAATATATGGTATGAGCGTGATACAGCTGTGGTTCGTGACAGGAAAGACGGCAGAAGGTGGTGAAACAACATGAGACAATGGATGACAGACTTCTAGATGACCAATAACGGAAACACACGTGTTCTATCTTTAACATCGTGCTAGGGAAAGATAATTTATTACGCTATAAACCACCTAGACATCTGCCCAAACGCGAACAGCAAACGAATCCAAATATTAGCTTGGCAACTAAGTGATTGCGGATTTTATCATCAGGTTGTAACGACAAAATCCGCAATCACTTAGTTGCCAACCCAATAGATAGTGCAGGATTGAAATTATGGTGTGACATAAGGTTCGTGTTATGGTATAGCACAGGATTCAAATTATGGCGTAGTGCAAAGTCCAAGTTATGATACAGCATAGAGCTCAAATTACAGTCTAATATAGGGCTCAGATAAGAGATGAAATGTAGCGAAGCGTGGAGTTCAAACATCGTCAAACATTCTGAACATTTCTTTGCTATTGTAAATATTTTCAAATGGGTCAATTTCGTTAAAAAATGTAGCAACTTTATCGAGTGGCAGAACTGTGAATTAAACATTGGGATGGTTGTCGTAACGGTGACAGGGACATCTGACGGAACTTATCGCGCAGTTTTTTCGTTCTCTACAACTTAATTTCGCACCTAGGGAAACCATTGCCTGTCGCGGATATTGGAAACGTCGATTCACCGGAACGAAGCAAAGAGTTCTGACCCAGATTTTAATGGAAGGCCGGTCCTCAGATTACTTCCGCTTCCCGTATGGACTACTTCATTGTCTGTCGAAATTGAATGATCGAACGGCAAAGAGGAAAAGAAATATACGCGATGGCGATTCCTTTTTGTTGGATGGTCTTTCCACTACGATTTCCGGCCCTCGTGGAAAATCTGATCGCCTCTTCGAGCGGGCACCAAGTTTCCTGGATTCCTTCTAACTTCGTTTTTACGGTTGTTACCCTCGGTTTGTCCACCTTAGATCACGAAGAACAATCTTTAACAATTTTTTCTTTCCACGATCTATGCAATCGAAGACACTGTAACATCTTTCGAAGTTCAGAGGTTAGGTTACGCGTAATCTCGGATTCTAGATAACTTCATTGTTACGATCGTTGGTGTCGGTTCCTCTGCGTAAGATTGTACGGAATTCTTCACTTTTCCATTTTTATCATTTACGCAATCAAAAATTTTGCGGTGTTCTTTCAAATTTTGGCGACCACGTTAATTAACAGATTCTATGCCATACGTGTTTCAGGATGTTCACGAATTTTTTTAATTACCTCTGACTTACGATAAATCGATCCAATCATATTCGACAGCGAGGACTTCACTATGCTATAGTATGCTGTACGAATTTACTAACATTATTCGTGTTTAAACTATTATTAACAACCTTATTGATAATTAATAATAATTAATAAAATGAAGTAGAGTCATATATATTAAATATGTATAACAATAATTATTAATATATATTTACCAAATTAAATTACATTTACTAAATTTAAAAAAAGAGATTGAGAACCTTCAAAGATGAAGATATAACCTATCCGATATAATGTGTCATTCCAGACACAGGAAAGATGAGAGGCGTTCACGACCGGTGTTGAAATCAAGGCGTGAAACTTGTTATAAACTCGTTGCAACGCTGTAGTCATTATATCGGCCCGACGAATTAACGGTTAAATGTTTAATTGCATCGTCTGCTGGCGTGCTAATTGCACGCGTATCGTTGCCGTATTAGCCGCAACTTTTCCACCTTCTCGGCTTAATAATCGGTTTTTCGCATCGCGTGTACATATAACGTCGTTGAAATTGCCGGATATACGGCTTGGGTCTCGTTCACTCATACTAAGACATTAATCATAAACGAAACTATATATTAATAACTATATATTATTAAAGATATAATTTGTAATTATTGAAAAGCTTTACAGCAATATAGCGTTCGTTACACGTATAAGCAATGTTCATATTTAGACGAACATTTGAAAAAATAATATAATATAAAATTGAAATTGAAATATAACATGAAAATAATAGGAAAATGATAGAAGCAGCATATAGGGAAATAATAATATTTGTTTCGAAAATACTTAATAATATGCAACATTGCGTTATTTATTGAGTATCGCGATCAATTTACCAACAATCCCCCGAAACATCAAGAAATGTAAATAAATTGCTGAAAATCAGTATATTTACATATAGCTAAATTAAAAATGCTCTGCTTGGAAATACCATGCAGATGCTTTTCAGGTCAAGCATCACTCACTAAGGTTTAAGGATAGCTTCCTTTTCACATAGAATTCAAATTCATAAGACTATCGTTCATTTCATAAAACTCTCGGATTTCTGCGAGTGCTAGAATATTTAAACGTCAAAGCTGCTCTAGTATTAAGCTGGGGACCCGCTCGAGAACTAAGCCAGCCTATATTATGGCACACTAGCTTCAGAAATATTTACTTCCATGTATATATGCGGAACCGTTTTCACTGAAAGCGAAGTTATACTGGTGGAAATGGTAGCCTATAAATATATCGCAGCAAATATTTTCAAACCTACCACAGCATAGCAGAACATAACCTAACTTTCCGATAGATCCCCAGCTTTCGTGTCGTATCACCAGGCAATGAGCAACGGCTAGACTGAACTACACTAAGATCTAGCTTCTAGCTTGGACGATTCCCTAGAAATATATCGCGGTAAATATTTTCAAACCTACCACAGCATAGCAGAACATAACCTAACTTTCCGATAGATCCCCAGCTTTCGTGTCGTATCATCAGGCAATTAGCAAAAGCTAAGTTGAGCTATACTAGAATCTAGCTTTTAGCGGAGACGGTTGCCTAGAAAGATATGGCAGTAAATATTTTTAAGCTTACAGCAGCACGGTATAACATAGCCTACCTCCCCGGTAGATCTCCAGCTTTTGTCGTATAATCCTTTGGTCACAAGTATCTGACACGAACAACGGCGTCCATCTTGTGGTTAGTTTGCGGCCAACTAGCGGTCACTTCTTCTAAAATCGTTCCTGACTGCTGTGGACGTGTGCTGGCTTCTGGCTTTCAAGTAGTTCCGTGGACAGTGTCCTCCATCCACCTGGATCAATAGTTGGGAAATAATCTGTTATCCTAAGGACTTCCTGGGGTACACTCCACGGTGATGAAATTGGAAGTTGGAAAAACTTTCACATTTGGGGAGAACAATTCTGTCACGGGGAAGATTGCTGGGATAATACCTAACGATAAAGGAAATCGACTTTTGTAGAGGGGGAAGGCACACGGGGAAAAAAACGATATGAGGATATGAAAAAAGAAATTTGTAGTTATAAGGAGAACGATGCAAGGATTTGAGAGGAAAGGAATTTCACTGATAAAGGGAACAAACGTATATAATAGTAAAAACAGGAACGTTGTAGCGATAAGAGGAGCGATGTAAAGACTTCAGAAAGGAATTTTAACTCTCTGACAATAAAAAAAAAATAAATGGCGATACATACAAACACGTGTAAAAAGAGTGAGAAAAAAAAAGGAGAGCCGAAAAAGAGTTTCAGCGATGAGAAGAATTTGCAACAAGGAATACTCAGCAATAAAGAGGTTAACGCACACATACACCCAAAAAGAGGAATTCAAGAAATGCAGGGAACCCTTGCAACACCCTATAGGTCGTGCACATTATAGAACATAACCTTCATCATGTGATCGTTAAAAATAATCTAGATTTGTATTGTCGAAGAACAAAGTCGCTGACCAGTGCCTGACCAGTGATCTCGATAATTTCCTTGAAATACTCACGACTTAGTATACTTAGTATACTTAGACTCTAATACATTATATCGCATTTGCTTGACTTTTTTCAAATTCTTCTGACAATTTTTCGAATAGGAAAAAGTTAACTAGATTGTAATTTATAGTACTGATATGTTGGT